TTTAACAGTAGCTTAAGCAAGTAAGGATTTGTTTTTCTCACATAATAAGAATCCTGGAGGTAGGTAGTTGTTCACATTAGTTATAGTGGCGCAAAAAACTTGGGCTTGTATCTTCGCAATTCCCTTGGTATTTCCCACACACACATTAACTCACAGTCACCCGCTGGCCGCTGCAACCCAAAGCATTATATGTATTCTGAGGGTAAGAAGAAAAGCAGGAGGAGGAAAGAGAACCCCAATAAACTCCAATCCTTTTTATCAAGAGAGTAGATACGTTTTTAGAAACTCCTACAGCACACTTTCTTTGAAATCTCAAGGAGTGAAGTGGGTGTCAAGGATATCTCCAGTTGCAAAGTATATACATACATACAAGTTGAAAAAATACAGAATACAGTTGTAATACAGGCTTAAGCTAATCATGATCAGTTGCATGGCGTTGGACTCACTACATCCCAAAAGAAACTCAGGGTTCTATTTTCAGTTAAGAAGTTGGAAGTCAGCATTGGATAGGCAAGTGAGCCTCCAGCCTGTTAAAACATCCCATCCCATGACCTCAGCGATTTGTCCATAGATGAGCACATGACCCAGACCCAGGCAAAAGGGCACTTAAACAAGGTTGTTGAAGCTCCCTGGAGAGACAGCTGCCTGTAGTCACAGATTATACCTAATAAAAACCTTTTTATAAGAAGCAAGCTAACATAGAAAGAAGTAAAGGAAACAGTTTAAGAAAAAAGAAAATGTAAGTGGCACTCAGGTCGCTGATTCTTACAGAATCTGCTAAAGCAAGTTTTACATCTACACTTGTTATGAGATCCAACTAATTTTCTATTATGGTCAAACGAGATCAGTTTAGATCGCTATCCCTTGCAACCAAAGACATCTGATTAACCTACTTCTTAACACGTTTCCCTGCTTCCAGCCTCTTCCGACTTGTCTGTGCAGCAGTGAGTCCTTAAAGCTGCTTTTCTCAAAAACAAATCCAGTGATGCCACCAACTGACGGTCACCGATTTGTGATGTCTTCCCCCATCACCTGCAAGATGAAGTTCAAACAATTTATTATATTAACAGCAATTCATAACTTGGCTCACTACACACAATAT